GCGTCACAATGGGGGTAGTGGACACCAGTGGTATCTTCTTGAGTGAATAAAATTGGTGGAGTAGTGTGGGCTCCACTGGGGGTGTTGTTAACAAAATATCTTATCATTGGAGGATCCTTGGCTTTCCTGGCGTAGTTCCTTTGGGCATTTATAACTTTCCCCCCACATAAGAGCCTCCAATTATCGTTTCAATCTCCCTGATGGGTTTATTTCCTGCTCCAACGTGAGGCTCCCTTCTTTACCTCCGGGCGTCCCTAGGCCTTCTCCTTTCTTCATCATCTTGTTGCCCTGGGGACTGGTCTCTTTGAGTTTGCTTCGTCTCTCCACGCCGCGACTCTTTTTCTTGCCTTCTTTAGGGAGTGTCCATCCTATTTCTACGCTCATTTCTCTTATCACCATACCGGTCCATTTGTTCTTTGTTGTCGAGCCTTGTTAAGCAATTACTGGTGCTATGACCATGGGTCCGATGATAAGCGCAATACAGCTTGTTTCTTGACTCTTAGCCTCTCCCTTTGCCTCTTCCTTTGGGCTGGTTTGTTCGCATTTGCGCATCGGGTCCGACTTCGACTTCTTTATAGGCCAAGGATGGCACCTCATTTAGTATGGGGGTTACCAAAGCTTGACCTAAAGTGGGAGCGATTGTCCTGCCCAGTTTGGGTCCATTGCTGGGTTACCAAGTGCGATACAGGGCCTCGCCTCTGCCTTTGTGGGGTGGAAGCTCCATAGATGTTTGATTGCGATGATTGATCAGCTTTTCATTAACTATTTCGCTCTTCATCATTTTCACTAGGCCGTCATAAGTGGTTAGATTCTTGTTCCGTACGTCTCTCCAAAAAAGGGTGTTAATGTTGAGACCTTCTCTTAAGGAGGACAGAGCCTCCCTGTCAGTTACTTGTTCACAGTAGGTCATTTCATCCGTAAACCTTTCTAAATAGCTCTTCAAGGTTTTGCCTGATTGTTGTCTTATGTCCTGAAGCCTTTGAATAAGGGCCTCGCCATACTTGCTTGTTAAGTATTGATTTGAGAATGTTTTCTTAAGGTTGGGCCAGCTTTTGATGCTACTAGCTGGGAGGCGACTATACCATAATTCAGTTGTCCCAGCTAAGGTTAAGTAAAAGGCCTGGCATTTCGATGCTGGCGAGGCTCCTCTTAAAGACATATAAGTCATGTAATTGTTGAGGTGCTTCGCCGGGTCTCCCTTCCCTTCATACTTGGGTATCTTTGGGGATACAAAGTGGCTAAGCACTTGAGCATTCCTCAACTCTTGTGAAAACGGAAGGCTGTCATCATCATCATCCAGCTCAAAAGATCTGTAGGGGCCATCTAATTCTCCTTCCTCTACCTGATACTGAGGCGGTTAGAACGTTTCTGCCTGATTTTGTAAGTTCGCAGCATCCCTTCTTTCCTGCCTATTCCTAGGTGGCCTAACCTCTTGGGGTTCTTGTCCTTGGCCATATTTTGGCTGCCTTGGAGTAGGGCGCGACTGTTGGGGCTTATTTCTAGGCCTCGACCATCTGATTCGGTCAAAGACACTGGTAGATCTCTGTGGCTCTTGTTCTTGCACATACTCGAGAGAAAATTCTCCTCTTGTGGTAGGTTGCCTCCAACATCAGTTGGGACATAGCTTTAGGTTATATCCATGCCCACCTCCCTCTCACTTGGGCTTGGCTCCCTCATGTGCCCTTGTGCATGGGTTCTTCCATGATGCTCTTGATGAAAAGGTTCCTAATAAGGGGCTTGATATCCCGTTTGCCCCTGCATCTGCACAGGTAGTTGCTGCATTGTGGCATTCTGCTAGGTATTGTCCCTCATGTTTTCCGCCAAACATGTGGTGGTTCCGCCTCTTCTATGTTGGTGGTGAGATCGGCGAGTGGTGACATTAGCGCGGAAGACCTCTTCTTCAAAGGCCTTCTGTTGGCGTCCCCTGCTATGGGAGCCGTTATGGCTAGAACTCATGAGGTGTTGCCGATTTGAATTCGTGTGATAACTTCCAACATGTTTCCATATTTGTCTCTTTTTTCCCTATCATTCTTTTTCAAGAAACTGAAGCTTTCTTCAAGGTCCGGCTGGTGGTAAAGTGTTTTGAAATGGCTTTTACCATCGAGATATTCGTGGTTGGAATGTGTGATTTCCCATAGATGGTGCCAATCTGTTGATCTTAAAAAATATACCTCCAAATGGTCAACAGATCTCGAAACCTCTCACGTCCAAACAAGCTATACACCTGCACACTAGGACAAACCATTAGACACACGTGACCTTCTCCAGTAGGGGTAGAGCCGACCGTGCGTACTCCGACGGTCAAGTTAGTTGAGGAAGGAATGTATTAAATGTGGGAGGGCTTTTAACATGAGCCCCAGTGTAAAACAAACGGGGTCGTTTCAAGAAAAATAGTGAATATAGAGCAAAGTTATATAGTATCAAAGTCTAAACTTGCATTATCTCTGAATGACACCGAGTGTGGGCTTTTATAGTATGAGATGGCGAATGTGGACTGTCGGATGAAGGGACAAGTGGCCCTTCCTTCTTAGACTCAACTTTTCGTCATGGGCATCAATCAATCAATCAGTCGCAGTCTATTAATGCTAATGTCATCTTCCCTTCCATGAGTTATAGCTTGCGGCGGTTGACTTGACCAAGTAGGTTGGCTATGGCTGCTATAGCAGGGGATTGTCATGTCAATCACATAATAGATTTGATTTGGAAGGTGTTCGGCCATACATGGGTTCGACTACACATGAGTTCGGTTATACATGGGATCGGTTACACATGGGTTCGGCTACTCATGAGTTCGGTCACACATGGGTTCGGCTACTCACGAGTTCGGTTGCACACGAGTTCAGCCAATGGGTCATGTACATGGATTGCATACACGTGGACTCAGATTGTCCACGTCGACTTAATGGGGCCCAGGTATGGCCTCTGCTAGAGGACATGTAACATATATCAACAATAAATGCTTCAAGCCAATAAAAGCGTAGAGCAAAACGAACAAAAATCGGGTAACAGAAGAGCAACCCAAATGAATAATGACTACTATAAGCAGAAAAACGGTAACCCAGCCAAAAGTTCTAAACTATCATTAAAATCTCAATTGATTGGTGCGATGATTAGGGGTGATTGGTTCGAAACTATCATTCCGCTATTTTAGGACCAATTTTAAAGAGTATATCATTATCCTAAATTAGTGTCTATTATCTTATAATTATATATTATTATATTGGAATTACCACCTAATTTTTGAAAGTATATTGTATGATTGTTAGTTGTGAAATATAATTGTTATAGTGTAGTAGTTGTGTATTGTTCCCTAGATATAGTAGCCAAAAAGGAGCGCTCAAACAAATCAGGTAGAAAATCACAACCTATTTAAATTGGATGGAAACCATTAGTAAATCCGTCAGTTGACTTAAAGTCAGCATTTTGACCAAATTTTGATTACATTTTAAAGGGTAAAAATGTAACATTATATTTTCTATAAAAAGCAATTAAAATAAAAAACCTAAAAACAAATTACCCTTCATCTTCTTCACAGACCCTACACCCCCACCCTCTCACCCCAGAGAAAAAAAAACCAGAACCAACAAATGGAACTGTCACTGCCAAATGAAGCCAGTGACAAAATCGAGATTCAAGAGCACCACCGCCACCTCCTCCTCTTCCTCCAATTCTCAATTCTTTATTCAAAAATGGAACCAAAAGCAAAAAATAACAACAGAACCGGAAAAACTAGCCCCGGGTCTAAGGGGCCTTCCTTTTTCATTTATTTGTTCTTCCTTGATTGAAAGTTGGGGATTTTTCGTGGATTTTCTTGCCAGATTCGATTGAGACTTCCTATTGATCTTCGAGGAGTGAGGAATATTGAGAGAAAGGCGAAATAATGGTAAATTCAACGGTGGAAAGAGTGACGAGCGATATGCTCATAGGTCATGATTGGGCTATGAACATCGAGATCTGTGACATTTGCAACCACGATCTTGTTTAATTGCATCTACTCTCTTGTTTTCCACTTAATTTATCCAGAATAGTATGTTTACAATTTATCCAAAATTTAGTAGTTGTTGAGCTAGGGTTTTATTTTTTGTGAAAGGATGGCGGATAGTCCCGGTGGCAGTGGGAGTCACGAGAGTGGCGGCGGGGGGGTGGGGGTGGGGGTAGATTTTTGATTTTTTCTTGATTTTTTGATTTTTTTTTCAATTTATTTAATATGCTAATTATCAAGTTACCATTTTATCCTGTCCAATTTAGTCAAAATAGGTCAACATTTACTTTTTTGGTCAATTAACGGTCAAATGGACGGTTTCCATCCATTTAGACTTCGGGTGCATATTTTTGAAAGGTTTGGTATCGTGTGTGGTATAAACTAAAGGTTTGGACAAAGTTTGCTAATAAACGACAAGATTTGGTACCTCGGCTGCAATTTTTCCAATTAATTTTGAGGGCAAAGTCCACATTAACAAAATTCATTAACAATTTGATAAGGGCTCAAGTGAGTGATTTAAGCATTCAAGTGTTTTCGTTGGTCAATAGTGTACAATTTTAGATGTATATTCTTTTGAAGGTCAATTTAAGATTCTTATATTGACACGACCCGTCCCGTATCACTTTAGTTTACCCTATACGTGACATGTGTTGATGATAGTACCAATTAAGTGTCGAACCCACCACCAAGACAATTTCGACTGTCAATTTTGTTTTTGACAAAATAAGACATACAACTAATGACGTATACAATTTGATTTTGGACTAAAACTTTTAGGAAAAGTGAATTTTAACTTGAAACGATACTTTATAAGAATTTTGTTAGTTGTACAATCGGGGTTGACAATTTTCTCACAAGAACGGGGTCGACAATTTTTTTATTTATCGTGGGCCTCTCACCATGTGAGTGGTTATCAATTGAAAACCTCGATTATACAAGTAGCAGTCTAGCATAGTTCATTTTATAAAGCTTTAAACATGTTTGGCTAAGCATAAAGGTTTCTCATAAGTAGTCTTGCTTTTATTTTTATTTCTATTTTTAAGTCAAACTTGCTCTAAAATAGGAGACGAAATCCTTCAAAAAACTTTAGCAGTGATTCCCACTGGCGCATCTCTGATCGCACATAAACACATCGTCTTTTTCCAACTGTAAAAACTGTCGAATTTGGATCGTGAACCGGAATTGAAGCGAATACATTCGATCCAGTGGGTCGGATCCATAATAGATCCGAATGTTGGGGAATTCGGGCATGGATGTGCTGCAGGAGTCGGGTTGGGAGGAGCTCCGAAAAGAGGCCCGCAAGATCGAAGGTGATCTTGATTTCAAGCTATCTTCTTATGGTAAACTTGGCGCTCGCTTCACCCAAGGAGGTACAATTGTGTAGTAGTTTTCATTTTCGGTTACTGTCAAAATTTTCACATGAATTTTGCTTCTTATTATTATTATTTATTTATTTATTATTATTATTATTTTTGTGTGTTAAAAATGTTGAACTGAAATCTTCTAGCAATCAGGTTATTGTGCATATTAATGGACGATTTTTTATGGGAACTTTGTTTGCTGATTTGTTAATAAACATTACATGTTGATATTCGTGATTACACGGGTTTGATTGATTTTTAAGATCCAATTCAATAACTGCATTACCTACATTTGGGTTTTGTTTTGCATCACTTCTGGTATACTTAGAACCCAAAGAGCCTTGAATAAATAATATAAATGGTGAGTTGATTTATTTGTTATGAAGGATTGTTAAGCAGTGAAACAAGTAATATGAATTCAATAAAGTCAGGATTGGAATATAATAATCTTAAATCATATGCTATTGATAAATGGACATGTACCTTAGATAATTTAACACTAAAATATACAGAGTTTACTTGTGTTTTTCTTATCATGAGTTACAATACCATGCCCTTGTTTTATCTGTTCGAATGATGGTTTGGATTGGTGCACCATTCATTTTAGCCAGTTATGTGGCTCCTTAGTAAGCTAGTCTAACTGAAGAGAATCATTATCTTTTGGAAGAAAATCTGATGGTTTAATAATTATTGGTTAAAGGAGATGTATTACAGCCAAATTTAGGGACTCGGTCCACTTTTAAGTTATTTTGATCATATATGTGTGCAGGTTTGTGTGGATGTGTTCACTCATGTTTTTCACATATCCGAAGACAAGACATGAGCAATACAGTAAATTATGCTTGAATGTTTCAGGCAGTTTAGTTTAACAATCTCAACTAAACTGTCCATCTGGTGTCTTTTGTTTCACACCATTCCATTTAAAATTAGGGTCTTACTGTTCATGTAACTATGTTCTGAAGATCCGTGAAATAATACTTTGGTTTCACTGAAATGAGGGGTTTGGTTGTACATAAACTATCATATATTACCCAACTCAGCTTTAATAGCAATGTTGGATCAAGGCAACGGAAAAGTGAGAGAGATGCAACTGAAAGACAAAGTCCCTGAAATCATTTAAAGAGCAAGCCCTCCATGGGGCAGAGAAAAGCTTTGGTGTAATTCAATTCAATACTTCTTCTATTTGATTATGTATCTTTTTATGTTTTGCAAGTTCGTTAAATATTTATTTAGAATATGACATTTAGAAACATGAGGGTTTTAAAGTTAGCTACTTTTTTGCCTCTTAAGGAGAATTTCTATTATGAATAAAGCAACACATTTTCAGAATGCGTTTCCAAACAATAAATCCTCAAATTATATTGTGAGCTTTTTTTATTTCCAGTGTGTTTGATGATTTCTTGGTTTTTAGGTTACGTGGATGCTGGTTCACCAACTTCTGGCTCCAGTAGGTCATGGAAGTCCATGGAAATCGAGATTCAATCACTGCTTGAGAAGCTAGTGGATGTAAATGATGCTATGAGTCGATGTGCAGCATCTGTGGCCCCTACTACTTCAGTTACTCAGAAGCTTGCAAGACACAGGGACATACTGCATGAGTTTACGCAGGTTATATGCAATCTTATCTAAATTTTTAAGCTACTAGAGATTTCTAACATGAGGACAAGGCAAAGGATGAATATAAGGGAACAATGATGTTGCTTCTAAGAATCATTTATTTACTATAGAAACAGAAAGGAAGCGGTGTTGTTGTGAAAGAAATACTCAGGCAGAGGTAGTAAGCATAAGAGGTCAAAGATTATTGATTGGCTGTTATGCTACTGGGGTTACTGGTTTAAGAATTTATCCTTTGCAACTATGCAATCTTGTTTTTATTTCTTCATTATATTTGAACATATACAGAGAATGTCTACCCAAGAAATCCATGGACCAGGTAAAGAAAATGATGTATATTTAGATGACTTTTGAGGATCTAGCTAAAATTAATCTAGCTTAGAGGTCGTATAGTTTGTTGTATATTTTAATCCAAAACAATGTCCCAAAACAGTACTTAAAGTGGGGACCTCTATAGCTCATAAATTTGAATATAGCTACGGAAAAAGGATTTATTGTAAGAGAAAAAGGCCTGCATTTAATAAAAACATCACAACAAAGCAGGATCTGAACTAACCCTACTCGTGTAATCAGCTTGAGATTGGTTAAAATCCTTAAGCTTCAATAAATTCTGGTCTTCTAACCACTGCATTGTTTTGTTGTTTGTTCTGCATCCCCAAGTATCATTCTGAATCATTTTATAGAGGAAAAAAGGCATGTCTACTTATGCCTCCATTTGGCAAATATATAAATGGTTTATAAATAGAAATAGTGATTCTCACAAAATGTGTGGATAATAATGAGTAGTAGCCATGAATGTGTAGTTGTAATTAATGTTTGACTTAGATTAAATTTATAAATTTATACCATTTATAAATTGTTATCCAAATGGAGGCTATATTTTAAGTTGAGAAGAACATGCAGAATTGATCCATGCATTATCAATGGGTTTAGTCATGTTAATTATTGATTTTATTGTCTGTTGTTCATTAATGGACTTTCCTCACCTTTTCTATGCTCTTAAAGGTTGGAAAGAGAATCATACTAATGTCTCCCTATTTATATGCTTCTAATATTTTTACAATGTATAATGTTTAATGGATGTTTGTATGGTTTTATTTACCAAAGTAAGTTCTTACTATAAAGTGGGAAATCGTAATCAGTATGGGTTATCCCATGTTTTCATGAATCAAATAGTTTTACATCTGAAAAGATGAATGCATACTGCAATGACTAAGCACTAAACAGTTTCCGAAAGTAACTTGTTATAGTGAGAACCATGAAAAGCATCTAGATTTGTACGCACATTACCTTTATCATTTATTGAATGAATGAGATGTGGAATTGAACCTATCTTTTCTCGAAAGAAAGGAAAAAATTTATGTTCTAGTTGTTTGGCTTGGGGAGACTGAGTGCTGTGAAGTTTCTTTAGTCTGTTTTGTATGATGTCTGATGCACTTCATTCAGATGTCCGAAGTCAAGTTGAATCAGTTCACTATATTTTTTACAGTTTTTCAATTTTTACCTGGAAAACTTGCTGACTTGTAACATAAACGATGAATAAGAGAGGTATTGGACTTTAGCTGCCTGATCTTAACTGCTGTGAGTAAGATCGTGTAGAATAGTATTTACACGTCTATAAGTATTGCTAGGAGTCCATAATGTTCATTAAGATCCCACTTAAGTGGAAAGTTTGCTAATTTTTGGCGCTACACAATTCATATGACATTGATTTCTCACGTTCGAATATTTACAACTTGTAACTTTTGACTATGAGAAGGGATGCATAAATAAAATAGTAATGCATATCATAGAGCGGATTGAATGAAAAGGATAGGTGTTGTACAATGACGTACTGCTAATCACAATTATGCTTTATATTACTGAATGGGCTGTTGATTTTTCATTTTTGCGATTGTGATAAGAAAAAAATTATTGTGTTTCCTACCTCTGTTTTACTGATTCTGTCCCTTCTTTTAATGCTTTGTTATTGGTATTGATCTGAAAACTTTGCATTACATAGTTGGGTTTTGAATCTTCTGTTAACATTCTTGGTGCATATTTTCTGTCAATTCTTCATTTGCCGGTTGTGTTTGTTTTCTCTTCAGTATTTTAATGTAGTATTTTCTTGGATTTGATTGAAAATATTTTCTGTAGGAATTTAGACGCATAAAAGGAAACATGAACTCAATGAGGGAGCACGCAGAACTACTAAGTTCTGTAAGAGATGATATCAGCGAGTATAAGGTGACAAAATTAGCTCGAACTGTCAGTACAGACAAATATGTTTCCATTATCTCTTATAGCTATAAAATGCATTTATGCAGGCATCTGGGAGTATGTCTTCAGGGACACAGCTACTGCGTGAAAGAGCTGCCATACATGGAAGCATATCTCATGTATGACTTAATGCTTGTTTGATAGGCAGAGTCGATCACCAGTTTTCTATCATGGGGTTGACTGCAATGCTTTACACATGCGTTGATAAAAAAAATCAAGAACTAAGTTGATGGATATTGAAGTTATTATTCATTTTGTCACATTGGAACTCTTCATATTATATGGCTAATAACCTATTGGAGATATATTGAATAAAATGATTGAGCCCCTGGTTTATTAATGTGAACAATTTGGGTCAGCAACATTGATTTTCTGCTCATGATGTTTCTGCGTGTTGCAATGATGCTAGTGTTACATAATCGAGTCTTACTGAAGTAATATTTTTATAAGATTTTATTCATTATCTATGAAAACTCGTGCTATTTAATTTATTTTCAACAAATTACTTGATGTTAGGTTCTTGAAAAGTTGAGCTCATCTTATGTAACAACCGTTCATAATGGGGTAACATGAGCATATATTGTTGGTCCAATTTTTCTCTGTAGATAGATGATGTGATTGGTCAAGCTCAAGCAACTCGGGCCGTGTTGGGCTCCCAACGAGCGTTGTTTGGTGATGTTCAAGGAAAAGTGAAGCTACTTGGTGACAAATTCCCTGTCATACGTGGTCTAATTGGTAACTTCCCGAGTAGATTTCTACTGATAATTTTCTTCATACAAGTCACTTCCTAATTGTTTTGTTTTTGATTCTCACAGGTTCAATCAGGAGAAAACGATCAAGAGACACTCTCATCCTATCTGCAGTAATTGCTGCTTGTACGCTCTTTCTTATTATCTACTGGCTTTCAAAGTAAACATAGACCAATCTGTTGCCACTAATCAATTAAAAATAGGATTTTCCAACGACTTCTGAACGTGTAGTTTGTAAGAACAAAATCTACTTCTTTATTGAAAGGGTTATGGTTTATTTTATGTACCTCTCATTTTTCTTATACCCTCCTGATATTTACATTTTTAGACAACTTTGGTTACATCTTGTATTGGAAGAAACTATTTAGTGGTTGCCTCATTTACAGGAATATCAGCAACTGAATTAAATTTACTTCTGGCAATTGCTACTGGACAAAATTTAATCTTTATTCGTTCTAATCCAGTACAGGAAAAGCATATCCTAAGGATATCAATTTTTTGTCCATGGGCATTCTAGCAATGGAAGTAATGCCAACTATAATTTTCCTTTTTAAGGATTTGTAAGCTTTATTCCCATCTATGGGAGTTCAGGTTATATATTCTCCTACAGCGTTTCAGTGTATTTATCAAATATATTGGTAGGAGGAGCATAAACCTAGGCCGCCCAGGTCCATGTGACTGGAATATTGAGGGCCTTGGTTCGAACCATGGTTTTCATTTTTTTTCTTAAATTGATTGAAAGTATGTGTTGGGCTTGAGGGCTTGTCTAGCCTGGTGTGATAGTGTTGAGTTTCACACTTTTCTGCACGTTTCTGCAACAATGGCTGGACTTGCTGTGATTCTTGAGTTGAGATATACTGTCTCGGTCTTGTTATCCCTTTAGTATATTTTTAAGACGTGGGCACATCACATCTTCTTAGTAAATGGAAAGGCGTCAATGTATAATGTGTCAAGGTGTAAAAAAATGTGTTGATGTCTATATGTTTGCCAAGAAAATTGATGCGTCGACATGCCAAATTATATTGAAAGGACGGTAAAGCTAGAAATAGAAGATCTAGGGTCGTGAGGGTCGGATTAATATCTTTGGTGGTAATTGGGGGTAGGGAGTGGGTGTGTTGGTGAGTATGTTTGCGTGGCCCTTGGAATGGCCACAATAAATTGATGTCCCGAAATGATGAATACGAAGCAAGCAGAGGCCAGATCCTCCTAATCATACTTGACCTCCAATGTTTTCAAATCCGCTACGATTTCCTTGAACCTAGCCAAGTGATCTTTCAGTGACCCTCCCTCTACTATCATGGGAATACAGCATTTGCTTTAAATGCAATTTGTTTGGAAGACTTTTAGTCATGCACAACTACTCTAGTTTTAACCATAAAGCAATCGCATTTTCTCCTTCAATACGTCCTATAGAATGTTATTGGAAAGGTGAAAATGAATTTGCAATAGAACCTTCTTGTATTTCCATTGTTTCTTCTCAGTTGTCCAATTTGCTGGCATTTTATCAAAATCCAACAAAGTATTGTCTAAATCCATCTGCGCCAACACAGTCCTCATCTTTATTTGTCACAACGAAAATCTCGTAATGTAATCCAGCGGTGAAATATCATATTTCAATGCAGTCATATTTGAAAAATCTCAATCAAATCACGAAGAACTTGCAGACTAACTTTGATACCACTTGTTTAGAGCAAACAAGTTACCAGAATTGCTCTGATACCACTTGTTGGACCCGAATGCAATTCAAAAATTGAGATTAATGAACAATATGAAATATGTATAATCACAAAGAAGACTTGTTACAACGAAAATCTCGTAATGCGATCCAACAGTGAAATATCATATTTCAATGCAGTCATATTTGAAAAATCTCAATCAAATCACGAAGAACTTGCAGACTAACTCTGATACCACTTGTTGGACCCGAATGCAATTCAAAAATTGAGATTAATGAACAATATGAAATATGTATAATCACAAAGAAGAAAATAAGATTAAAGTAAAGAAATTGATGAGAGATTAGCGGAGTAATCGATGTTTCATTCAAAACAATATGGAGATAATACAAGAATCTGAGCAATAATGCTTTACGTAAATTGAATGAAGAGCCATATATTTATAGAGACATACCAAACCCTAAAAAATCATAAAAATGGAGATAATATAAAAATAATGTGGAATAAAGAAAATAATATTTTTCAATAAAATCATGTGAAAATAAAAAAACAATATTTTCCAAAAGATCCACCCTAAGTTGGGACACAAAATCTAATAGTTGCAGCTTCAAAATTCAACAGGTTGTTAATACAAGCTCGGATCGGACAGGAATCAAGCAATATGAAAAAGGAATTATGATTGGTACGTGAATTTGTATTATTTACTTCCAAGATACTTGGGACATGATTCTTCTACTAGTTGAATTAGCCTACAATAATAGTACTTAATCTGCCATTATTATGGTACAATTTGAGGCATTGTATGGAAGAAAATGCCGATCGTCTACCCACTGGGACGAGGTTGAAGAAAGAAAATTACTAGGCCTTGAGATCGTCCAACAAACTGCTAACGTGGTCGAGAAAATCCAATCACGAATGAAGACTGCTCAAATAGACAGAAAAGTTATGCTACAAATGAAGAAAGCCATTAGAATTTTTTGTTGGTGACATGTTCTTTTTGAGAATAGCATCGATGAAAGGAGTAATGAGATTTGGGATAAAATGAAAGTTGAGTCCTCATTTTGTTGGATCTTTTGAGATGTCAAAAAGATTACGTGATTTGGTTTATGGAATCGCATTACCACCAGGATTGTTAGGAGTGCATAATGTATTTCACGTTTCATGTCGAGGAAGTATATATAAGACGCTTCTCTTGTGAAGAATTACAATCAAGATTGAGAGATTTGAAAGGAACTTCGAAGGAAAATGATAAATCTAGTAAAAGTACTTAGATGAATCAACTTGGGGACGCGAATATGAGATGCAGGCCAAGTACCCGTGTTAAATTGATATGTTTTAAATTTGAGAGCGAAATTGATTTTAAAATTATAACATATCGTGCTTTTTATTCGTGATAATCATGCATGTCTTGAATATGTATTAATGTTGCATTTAACACTTGATTATTTAAATTATTGTTATGATTTTCACAGTGAAATGTGTCTTGAACGTCCTAGACAGTCGACGTGTCCATTAATTAAAAATTAATATATTTATAGTTTAAATAAGTCTAGATTAAATTATACAATATAGTTATTTTATTATGTACTTTTAACTTGTCTTGTTTATGGAATTGAACTGAGACTTGTCCTTGAAAATACTCATAATTCTGTACTTGAAAAAAATATATTTAGGGTCCGTTTGATTGTAAAGGTGAAATTTGGGT